AGAAGGAAGGAAGGAAGGTGTGTGTGTGTGTGTGTGTGTCAGTGGCTGGAGCAACAGGTTTCGGACATTGCTGGAGAGAGGAGGGAAATGAGAGCCCAAAGAGCCCTATGAGAAACCAGCTTGTGGAGTGGGAGGTACTGGACCCACTGGAGAGTGTGAGTGTTTTTCAACGTTTTAAAGGGAAGAAGTCCCAGCAGGGATACAGTCCCACACAAGGGTACAGTAGAAAAACAAATGACCACCATCAGTCATGTGAGTTGAAGTCTCAAACATCTCTCTTTGTCCGTACAATCTTCCCCCTTTACATCTTAACAGGTATAATTATTTCCTTTGGAGAATTGTGTGGGGGATTATAAAGAGAGGCAGGCGGTGTGTTAGAGACTCCTAAATATACATTGGGGCCTAATGCTTGATTAGATGAGATACCCAACTTCCTCAGATAGCCCTCAAAGAGCAAAAAACAACAACACCACAACCTTGTGAGAACTGAAAACTGCAAACAAACAGAAGGGAACTGTACCTTTTTAAAAGGGAAATTAATTTTTTTTTTAAAGGCCAGGTACCTCAAGAGTTGTGCAGTTGTTCCATCAGCAACAACAAATTCCCCTTAGAACCCACTGCTGATGGAAAGTGGGAGATTTGCTGATTTAAATCTCCCATTGCAGTTTTCTGCACCACTTTCTCCACTATTCAAGTGGTCTGCTGACTCTAGGAATTCTAGAACAAAAATCCAAATAAGGCTGCTTTTATGGAATCCCAACTAATATGTTACAATAAGTGTAATAGGACAGTGATAGGCAGAAGGCACCTTTGATTTACCCACAGACATCTGCAGCAAGGATTTTGACCTATTGCTTGTTAAGCAAAAATTCCTCCTCATAATATAGCTATAAAGAAGGGATTTTGAGCATTAGGAATAAATTGCTATGTGAAAGGGCTTTGCATTTCATTTCTGTTTGAAAAAAATTCTGGGCTCAGAATTCTTTACTTGGAAATGTTCGTCTTTTGCACAAAGTAGTGGATAATTAATTTTTGAGTTCGATTGAAAAGATAGAAAAGAGTTTCAAGAATCTTACAAAACAACAGTTTTTTTTTTACTTTTGTCTTTACTGTGGAGGTAATGGTCGAAGCCTGATATAATCTTAATTTATTCCCACAGGCGGGGTGCTCATTTGAAGAGTGATCTGCATAATTAATGCAAATTAATCATAATCTAAGAATTGTCTGAATATCGGAAGTCACCTTCAATAGAATGGTAAATAAATACTTGAAAATCATGACAGAGAATTTGCATTAAAGAGTTTGCCTGAAATTTTCCAAACCATACTTAATATGTATCTACATGATAAATTTAGATAGTGTTTTTCTGGTTTATGATTAGGGTGTATTCAATATTTCATACATAGATTGACCAGATATTCTTTTCATATATACATTACTATTTCTTCTTAAGAGTGATTAACATAGGTTTTGATTGCAAGAGTATAATACTTAAAGCTACATGTAAAACTAGACTGAGCTAGAGAAGCCCTTCCATCTTAAGCTTTAAAAAAAAACCTCAGTAAGCTTTTTTAAAGCACAGATTATCTGTTATAAATGAGTGACACTACATAAAATGAAGTTGTTTCATTAGCTCTTAAGAATTGGCAGTCTAGCCTGAGTAGAGAAAAGTATCTTTAACAGGATATAAAGTTGCTAAAATGTTTTGTATTGCAAATCATTTATATCTTCTGACTTCTATTCCTTTTACTTTTTGCATAGCTACTTATAAACTCTTCACAAATGAAGTATATATATATATATATTGTTCTACCACAGCTTTTATGCAGAATTATGCCATTTTTTCCCCTTTCACAGAAGTAGAAATGTAGAAAGAAACCAAATTGCTAAACTGTTGCTCTAATAGGTCTTCTGATACCACCTAATGAAAAATCAGAAAACACATTGAATCATATAATTCATATTTTCCATTATTTCTACAGAACTGCTCAGGGAGTGAGAAACTCAGGGAGTTTGAGCTCTTAATACAGACATGGCTTAATAGATGCAGCAACATTATGGAATGTACCTATACTGAGCACCATAGTTAAAAGGTTGCAGAGACCTGGAATATTAACAGAAGGGCAACAGAGATTATCGCAGAATGAGAAACTAAATCCCACGAAGAGAGATTAAAGGAGCTGCGTTCCTTTAACCTTGAAAAAAGAAGAGTGAAAGGGGCTATAATAAAATTTCAAATATCTCAATTACCAAGGTACTCAATTACCAAAGCAGTAATCAGCTTCCTCTTCTTGATTATGTTAAAAAAAAAAATTAGAGAGCCTTCTGTTGTAGATGTATATTCATTTAGATTCCCAAGGTGAGGTATCATACTTAACAGGCTCTTTGTATGTTATGATTATTTTTTTGTGTCATGGATGTTCTGCCAACACCTATTAGCTTATAGTTTACTGCAGTTGCTTTTTCTTGTATCACATGGACCTCCAGCAGTGGCCTTTTTGATTATAGCCCATGGTGCTGTCTATTATAGCAAAAGTTCACAGGCAGTTTTTCCTGCCAAGAAGCTTGTGGGGGGGGGGGGGATTAAGAAGCAACAGCTGAGTTTGTTAAGTGAATAACATTAGCCTTTGACAGATTTTATTTTAATAGGTGCATTCATACAAACAATAAAAATAAGTGATGTGAGGCTGAGTGAAATTGTTAATCAGAGTAGAATCAAGAAGTATATCACTATAATACCAACAGCAATTACTAGTTCAGTTCTTCCCAGTCTCTACCCACTTTTCCTGCTCTTTTCTATACGTGCCTCTCTTGAATTGTTTGAAAAGAGCAACAATAGCTCAAAAAGGCCCCATATTCGTTAGATGGTGTGAGGTTGGAGAGTAAAGTAGAAAATCATCTACCAGTTCTGATCTCCATAGCTCACATAAGCTAAAATGAACAGGTTTTTCTTCTTTTAAAAATTTTCCATTGATTTCAGACTTGTATGGATGAAGCTCATAGGGCTTTTAACCTGGGACCAGAATAAAATTATAAATACTCATTAAACTGATTCCCTCCTTGATTAAGGCAATTTAATTAATTAACGTCAGTGTGATATACTAGTGAAGGCATTGGACCGAGACTGAAGAGACCAAGGTTCAGGTCCACCCTCTGTCAAAGAGCTCATTGGCTGACTTTGAGCCAGTCACTTTTAGCCCAACTTAGTTCATTCATAGCGTTGTTTTGTGGGGGGAGGGGGGAAATGGAGTAGAGAATGTTTTGTATGACTTCGTGAGCTCCTGAAGGAAAAGCAGGATATAAATCTTAACAGGCAAAAAGACAATGATAAAGCTATGAAATTATCTAAGACTGTTCTATAAATCCATTCTATTTTATTTATATGTTGTTGGATATTTTTTTTGTTAGGCAAAAGCAACAACTATCAAGGAAGCTCTAGCCAAATGGGTAAGTAGGAAATAAATTGTGTGTTCTTAATTATATGGATTTTCTTTATCAAGAAAAGTGGTTTTCATTGTGCATTTTTATTTTTAGTAGATGCAAAACAGTTGTTTGCAAGGAACCCAGAAAAGCTATGAAGTCAAACTTTTTAGCTTGTTTAGTATTTGAACTGCAAATGTACTTCTGTGAAAAGTAATTAATATTTTTATAATACTGACTATGAGCTGAAAAATGCCTCTTGTAGACATTCCATAATCATTGTAGGAGGAATATATATTAAAAGCCATGTCAAGAAGTCATAGAAAACAATACTTGTTAATACATAGCAAAGGGAACAAATATAGTGGATAAACAGCTAATGGTAGACATGTTTGGGAAGGCTTTATTAAGAAACTGGGAAGAGAAGCAGTAAATATAAAGTGGTTTGATTATTGGGCTGCATATCTCAGAATAAGGCACAGAGAACCTTTGTGAAGTTGTATACAGCAATCTAAGTAAATGTGATTTAGTTAATTGCTCAGACAGAATGTTCAAAAATGGGAGTAAATAAAATGAGAATTTGTGTTTTGTATTCAGCTAAGAATAAAACAGCTCCCCCCCCCAACCCCCGCAACAAATCTATTGAAATATTCCATATTGGTGGCATATGAGCAGATGAAAACTTAAAACAATTTGATGTTGTATATTCTGTTCAGGACAAAACTCCAATGTTCTGGTCAGGTCAGGTGCTACAGCATTCCAAAGCTTAAAAAACAATTGGTGACTTTTTCCATATTTATCTGTGGTTTATAATGGTGTAGACAATAATACCCTGACTCTTCAAGTTCAGGTTTGAAGACTGTCATGCTAGCCTGCCCTGGGATCCCGTATGCTCACTGGATCCATTACTCCACTTGTTCCTTTCTATCACCTTCACAACCACCTTTTTCCTTTTTATTCTCAATCCCTAGGTGGAAGTGGATTAAGTGGGTACAGATTCAGTCCACTATTCAGCTTGTGTGAGGAAAGAGTTTTATTCCTATTTTGAGCTGTAAATTCAGCTTCAGCCTTTTAATACGTAATAGCACACAATTCCATTGGAAGAGCTGTCATACCATTAGTAACCAATTTCCTTACTGCTGTCACCCTCCCTATACCTTGAGTAGTGAAGCCTTATTTGCCCCTCTCTCTGACTGTTATCCTCCTTCTAAAAGCTCTTGCTCTTTTCCCGTAGTTGTTTAGGAGAGTCATTTTTATAGAGGAGATTAAATGGATGAAAATTGAGGCAAGTAGAGGGGAGGTTTTCAAGGTTTAAAAAAGAAAAAAAGTCTTTATAAAGTTTGAGATTGCTTCTAAGAAGCAGCATAGCTGGGGCATCACTATCTCTGTGCAGGTAATTTCTGATTGGAAGAATTAATTCCATAAACACATATAGAGTTTTTTTATGTGTGATGGGGAAAAAATGTGAAAGGGGGTAAGGAGAATCCTTTTTCTCCTTATGTTGCTTTGAAACAGATGCCAAAACTCAAAAGGAACACACTTGATCTAAAAAGGGGTGGGGTTGTGTAGAGGCTGCCTCAGAAGTAGACGTGCTCACTAGCTTCAGTAGTAGCAGTGCTAGTATTGAAATCAGTCTAGTTGCAAGTTCTAGTCCTTCTCCCTTAAATCTTTTACTAACAGCAATTTAATGCTGGCCTGAGCTACTCCACAGTTACCATTCCATACCAAAGTTCAGTCCAGCCTAGGGGGGGGGGGGAACCTAAGAATCATACTCGGTGCTTTGATTGAGAAGTGTGGTAGCATATCTTTTTAAAAGAAGTTCATTTCTTTTTCTCTGAGTAGATTAGAATGAATATTCTTTAAATTTTGAGGAAGCTGTTGTTTGTCATTCTTTTTTACTCCAGGAAGAAAAAACTACTCAGAAGCCATCGGAGGCCAAGGAAGTGAAACTCTATGCTCAGGTTCCCCCTATAGAAAAGATGGATGCTTCTCTTTCCACTCTTGTTAGCTGCGAGTAGGTCCTGAATACTAAAATAAATGTATCCTGGATTGTTCCTGCTTTCAGCAGTACAGGTTGCCCTTATTGACAATTGAAACCTGCAACTCCCATCATTAAGCAACTCTATCAGTCACTATGTGGGAAATCACACGACTGGGACTGTGCTTTGCTTTTCCAGCTCACTGTGCAATGCTCCGTGTTCAGCTTGAAACTGCAAGACTAAAAGTGTTACACCTTCAGTTTTGCTTGCCGCTTAACTATTCCTTTGCCCTTTGGAATGTTAGCTCCAACTGGAATAATTAACAAAAGGGAATTAATGTTTGTATTTGCATTAATTGGAGAAGAAAGGATTACAAGAGAATAAGCAAGCACACAATGGGAAGTATACATTGAAAGCAGTTATTATTTTATTTGTTAAATTTATTTACCACCTACCTCGTCATGAGGTTACTTCAGGCAGCAAATAAATGTAATGCACTGATGTCGGCAACTGCAGTATACAGAACACCTAGAGAATTCCTCACTGTGACCCTTCTTACTCTCTGGAATTCTTTTCTCTCCAATTTCTTCATTCTTCAACAGGGGAGGAACTAGTCTGATACAGGAGAGATTGCTATGAGAAATAGTTGATTCCCTTCCCTCCCTTACAGTGGAGAGGTTTCCACAGTTATATTTTGCCACATGATGACTAACATCCCCTGTCACCCCCTCCAATTTTTCAATTTCAACATTCAACACTTTTCTGAACATTATACTCTCTTGGTCTTGAACAACTTTATAATGTTCACAAGCCTTAATTGATATAATGCGACATCATGATTTGAACTAATCATATTAAAAACTGAGCAGTTTTCAGTTTTGAAATATAGAAATTTTGAGCTATTTGTCTTTTAGTCTATCTTGAGCAATTAGCTTTCAGAATCAGTGCCACAGTGCCTCTTCAGTTCCTATCCCCTCCAAATAATAATTAGCACAAAGTGTTTACAAATCTTCAATGTTTGCAGAATTACAATTAATATAAAATCCTCTTTTTTCTTTGTTTCAAGAAAACTCTCTTTATCTACAAACTGCATTGAAAAAATTGCCAACTTAAATGGGCTAAGTAAGTAATAATGAACATATTGCATCCTTTCTCAAACTTCTGTAAACCACTATTCTAGAAATGGAGCTTATATATATCATGCTTGCTTCTGCCACTTTATCAGTTTAGTTCCTTATTCTATTTATAGAAAATAATGATTGTATGTATTTCATACTGCAAAAATAGGAATGTCTCCTTTCTAATATACTATGTAAGCAGAGACCTTAATGTTTATAGCTCACTTAAATACTCAGTTGAATAGAAAGTTGGGATATAAATTAGATAAATAAATTTTAAAAAATACTGTTCCCATAATCCTCAATGAACAGATTTTTCTCCCATGGATTGATTCAGGCTGATTGTTATAACTATTATTAATCTGTCGTTCTGTGCAGCAAAATACAAAATTAATTATAAAATCAAGCTTTATTTGAAAACAATATAAGCAGTAGAATATTATGTTGATTGGGTTATTTGAGTACTGATTAGAGTATAGCCTTTTGCATTGATAATATTTTGCATCATTTGAAATGGTAGGCTTGAAGCATTGTTGAAAAAAAGTTTGAGTATTTTTCAAGATATTTAATATAATTTTTTTCCACTTAAAATGAATGGATTGTTTTTTAGAAATATTCCCTTCAATTGTTTTAACCTCTTGGGAAGCTTGTCACCTGTAACCTCTAGCCATGTCATGAATCCACAAATGCACAATTCAATGTGCTAATGAGAAAGTTGATTATTTTGGCTCATTACATGAGTTGAGTTTATGGCGCTCTGAATAATAATCTGTTCAGATCATGAGAAAGATTCAAGAGTTGTTTCAGAAAACTCAACTACCTGCTAATTCCTCTATTATTTACAAAAAGGAACAGCCTTTCCCTAGTTCACAGTGAAGCCATTAACACGAAAGTGAAAAAGACACTCTCTTAATGAAATATAAGATAATTGGGCTCTGAAGTTTAAGTACTATAAATTTCTGTAACCTGTCCCCTTAATCCTTTTAGTAAATATTGTTAAAGTAGCCTGAAAATCTTGGTTTTCATTGAATCAGTTACCTAATAATGTGGTTAAAGCAACCACAAGACATTTCTAAATGTTCAGTACTGAATATCTATTTCTATTCTGTTTTTTTATTCAAATCCTTTTTCCTTTTAAAGTTAGGTGTAGTGGGTAAGACAGCAGTCTAGAAACTGAGAGATTGCAAGTTCTAGTCCCACCTTACACATAAAGACATCTGGGTGACTTTGGACCAGTTATTTTTTTCTCAGCCGTAGGATGGAGGCAATGGCAAACGCCTTCTGAAAATCTTGCCAAGAAAACTGCGGGGATAGTAGTCAACAGGAATCAATACACACATTCTTTGCCCCGCTGGACTGATATGCATTATTCTTAGGTGGTATGTGCTGGGCTTTTATTTATTTTTAAAAAGTATATATTGCCCAATTCTCAAAACTTCTGACTGGTTATAGTGTTTCTTAACTAATAATGTAGAAAAATAAGTGTGTTTCTGTTACAGAAAACTTGAGGATATTGTCACTGGGAAGGAACAACATAAAAAATCTGAATGGGCTGGTAAGTAACCTTGATGAGATAGTTGTTTCTCATAATAACAATAAGAACATCAGTGCATGTAATGAATATCAGTTGATTGAGACAAATATTGAATAAAACCAACAATACTGTGTAAGTTTAAAAAAATCTTGAAGAACCATAGATTCTTAAAGAATTATAAGATCTCTACCTCATGTAAAAAGGATATATGAGGTTTTTCACAGCTGGTCACTGTGATAACACCTCACTAAGTAGCCATATTCACTTAATGGAAGTGCATGAGAAGGGTTTCAAACTATACCTTAAGATCCAGTTACAACTGGCAGTTAATGAAGATAAGAAACAGTTTACATAATCATTTGATCAGCTAGTTCCATTTAACTGCTGCCATATGGGAAATTTCATACTTTATTCCTTGCATTGCAATAATTCAACTACATGTTGCCAGAAGCAGCAGCAGCAGCAATCTGTCAAGGCAAGGTTACAATTAGTATATCTGCTAAATTGTTAAATGGTGCATGAAAAATATGTATGCCTGAACCAAAATAATGAAATCAAGGGCACTTACACTAGGAACTGATTTTTAGGAAAGTACAACTTCTCTGAAGCACCATTATGTGTTGTGGCCCAGCAGGATCCATTTGAGCTGCTGATGGATAGCAAGGAACCCTATGAGTCTGCTATGGAAGATGTGGAGGACCCTGGGCAGGGTTCAGACTCAGAGCAGGGACCAGAGGCTGGTTGGCCACCAGGAGGCACTTGAGACATGGAGCAGTGGGGAAGATCAAAGGCAGTTTGTCCCTGACGCCAGACAGAGAAGGGCGGAGAAACGGAAGCAGCAGCTGCGGAGGCAGACTCATAAGAGATAATCAAGCCCAGGTGGTTGTGACTTGGCCCCTCCCAAGAGCATATATAAGTGAGAATTTGAGAGGGGTCCTTTTGCAGGACACAACCGTTCATAACAGTCTTGAGGAACTCTTGTCTGGCCTGTTTCGTATTTCCGTTCTGTT